TAAGCACTCTGGGAAAAACACCATCACACTGTAGCTCTTCTGGTAGCTTTCTTCAGTCAAATTTCTTTGCATCCACTTCCTTTCACATTATTTTGAAGTGGAAATCCCACAGCTGTAAACTTGAAAACACATTATATCAAGTCGAATCCTGACTGTAGTTACTGGATTTTTCTAGCTCTGGTGTCTCTGTGCCTAATTTAAACTTCATGTCTCACTTTCTGCTTGATACAAAATTTTCTGACCAGAAAGCAAGTGAGAAAACTAGTCAGCTTTGCCTTATTTATTTTAATTTCAGAAATCTAATGCTTCAGGAAAAAAAAAAAAAAAGGATACTCATTTCCCATTTTTCAGCATGAAATGCAGAAAGTTTGACATAACAATGTAGTACAATGTCCAAATCTAGACATCTGATTTGAGTCTACAGAGGATCCAGATGGTCATTAATGGCATCCAAGTGAAGAACCTGTATTGACTGCACTGTGAATGCTGCTTGGATATGAAACAGGGACCCAGGAATACAGGGACCAAAATGCATCACTGGCCCATCTATCCAATTTCCTATTTCGGGAAGTAACCATATCAGATCCTTCAGCTGACTCATAGCTAAACACATGAAGCCCTGAGCAAGGAGAGTTTCTTAATTAATGCTCAATGAATGATTGAGGGTTTGGATAACTATCTTTTCTAATCTTAGCTTTGGTAACTGAGTACGGTTGTTACACATTCAGCCTTATGTGGGTGTTAGCAAGATTTGCTAAAAAATATGCAACAATAAGTTCAAAGGGCCAATTCAATTCAATATTCCATGAAAAGGATTTCATTTTGTTAATGTTAAACTCACTGCATTCCGCATTCTGTGTACAACTCGTTCAGGCTCCTTTTTGGACCATCAGTCTCTGTCAGTCTATGAAGGCTGAAACTCTTATCTTTGTGAAAGCTGGAGTGCAGGTAAGTACAGGCCTGTTTCGTAATCAGGTCACAAAGTACCTGTGCTTTGTCTGTGGGTTTGTTTTTATTATTTTTGAAGGATTTTGCTCTTTTCAAAAGAAATTATTCTAGTGCTATCAAGGCAGAACCACATTTTTAGTTTTTTTACCTTTTCAACTATTAGAGAATTTGAGGATTCAGCAACATTTTCTTTTCTTTCAGTTTTCACTGTTGTTCATTTTGTGGCCGTTGTTTATGAATGGAGAATGGTTATAAAAGGAGGCTGATAAAGGCTCATCTTAAATCATTATCAGCAACTACTTCCTGGGTTTGGGAGTACAATAAATGAATAGAGTATTCTGCACTTCAATGATGCTCATCTTATATAATGAATAAGCTTTCCCCAAAGTGCCAAAACCTCTCCCCAGCATATTAGTCAGTCTTAAGATGAACCAAAATTTAAAATAACTTATTCAATAGATACATTACTCCTTCTGATTTTTTTGAAGAAAGTTTGCATGAAATGTGAAATGTAAAATATAACTTCTGTTGAGCTATACATATCCTCCCCTACACGAGATTTTAAAGGTTGATTTAGGATTAAAAATTAATTCAAGGTCCCCGGGCTAAATTCTGATCTCACATTTCACCAATGTCAAGCTTCACCTGGCAAACAACGGAGTGTCTCTGGGTTATATCAGTATAAGTAGGTCTGCAAATTTGGGGCCCAGTTACTATGGCAATAATTTCTTTTTACTCTGCAAATGTTTATATACATTTTCTAATGTTTTTGGCACATATTTTCTAGGTTTGTTCCAAGGTAAAATGTAATAATTTCACTGAGAAAACAAAGATTTCAAGACAAAAATAAAAGTTAACTTCTCTACTCAAAGATTTGCATTCAGAAGCATCATCATTTTAACAGTAGAACAAGCTTCTATCAGCAAAAAATAAAATATTTTGCCAGTGCAAAACAGTGAATGACCCCACAGCTTCCACTGCACAGCTTCCAATTTAACATCAATTAGTGGCATGGACCAAAGACTATTAGGCTCCTCTGAAATCTTTAAGCTTAAAGCTACTAGTCTTTAATGACAATTTTACTTCCATCACTCTTGCTAACAGTTAACTGATAATATTTATCCATACTCTCAGTATTACTGCTTCTTTTATCACCAGTTTTAACCCATAAGGGGAACAGAAGTACAGTGCAGATTAAAACCAAAATATTTTTTCCTAGATTCATGGACTTTTGCTATAAAGCAAGGTGTTTATGATTAAATTTGGATGAACTTTGTGTTCTTTTTTGTTCAATGTTCATTAGTAAGAAGCAGTGAATAAATGTATTCAGTTTCACTCAGTTTACTACTATGTCTGCAGTCTACCAAGGGCAAACCCAAAGAGTTTTCTTTCCACATATGTATTTTCACTCACAATATATGTATTTTCACACACAACACCCACTATTTAAAAAAAATTGCATTTCTCCTTTATTTACTCAGATGATCAAAGTTTCATTTATTTATCATATATCATCAATCAAAAAAGTTTGTGACATATTTTCAGGAATGCCTTGATAAAACATGCTCTATAAATATCAAGTGTTACTTCCACAGGAATTCAATTATGTTATTTTCCAATGCGGAAATAGAAATCTCAATGAGACTGCATCCTGAAGCATAGAAAAATGGGTGGTGAAGCACTGGAACAGGTTGCCCGGAGAGGTTGTGGATGCCTGCATCCCTGGAAGTGTTCAAGGCCAGGTTGGATGGGGCTCTGAACAACCTGATCTAGTAAAAGGTGTTCCTGCCCATGGCAGGAGTGTTGGAACTAGATTATCTTTAAGATCCTTTCCAACTCAAGCCAGTCTATGATTCTACAATTCTATGATTCCACGAAAAAAGAAAGCAGATTAAATTATTTTAAGTTAAAAGCCTGGATGCAGGTGTCTCTGCTTTAGTATATCAGAGAGATCAGTCATGCTTTTTAACTGATCTCATTTTAATCTTTCAACAAAAAACTGGAGTGAAATTTGGACTTCTTGGAGGTTTTTTGTTATTATTTTATTTATATTCACAGAAGTGGGTAAGGGATACAATTGAAAATAAAACGTATTTCGTGCTAAACATTTGTTAGCTAAATAAACAACACTCAGTGAAAAAGAAGACAATGACATGACAGAATAGAAATCAGATATTTTGTAGGGTAATATATAGGGTAATGACCTGTAGCTAGTGTTCTTATTGCCTTATTTTTAACAGTTCTTTGTCGAAAAGCCTAGAATTGCAGGTCACAGGGAAAAAACTCATGATTTAAAGTAAGTTTAAAATTGTAGATCTGAGTACCTTATCGTAGAACAACTCATATAGCAAATCCTATAGTATTTCTACCATCAGTTAATGACAGGATTAAACATGATGTCCTGGATCGTTCTTTGTCTCAAGGAGACCATAAATCATAAGTCTTTCAAACTTATGAAGGGGAACGATCCCTCCCCGAACCTCCGATTTTCACAGTCATTTGATAGTATCTGGCCCTCTGCTAGAGACAGGCTAGATAGACCTTTGATCTTATGCTCCCTAAGGTTGCACAGTCTTTGACTATCATTCTCTGAAAGTTTAGCTTCAAATAGAGCCTGTTCTCACTGTGTCCTGATTCTTTGCCTATCATTCTCGCTTTTCCTTAAATTCCCTCATATGTAACCAGCATTAGCAAAGAATACCTCCTTGCATGGGTTTTATCTAATACTGCTTCCTATGGCGGCTGGATGTGAATGGGGAATGGCATTTGATAATCTCTGACTCCATCGTAAATGAAATTTAAACTAAAAGCAGCTGTTTCTTTTAAAGTGAAAGACACATCTGCATTAAATATAATACAACTTCATCTGGCTTGGTCTGCTAACACTTCAGTCATATGGTTTTCGGTCTTGTCACTGATTGCCATCCATTTCCTAAAGCTTTTGATTTCTTTTCAGAAAGGTGGGCAGGAATTAATTTAAGTAATTTTTAAGTAGTTAAATAATGACTTTCCTCTCTCCTTCTTGCAAAGTATGCAGCTTGATGAATTTGGATAGTCTAGTACTAAGGTTATCAATATGTAGGTAGTGATTGCATTTGATGGTGATGTTTCATGAGCACTGGGCTAACTGACAACAAAGGAGGCAGTGGGGAACCAGTCAGCCCCAAACTCAAAGCCACTCCTGGGAAAGACCTTTTCTGAAGGTTGGCATGTGGGTGTTGCAGCTGTGAAAGCTCAGCGTATGAGTGGTTACAGGTATTGGCTTTCTTTTTTCTCTGCATATATTTGTAGGAAAATGGGCATCAGTGCCAGAGAGAAAGAAAGGTTGAGCCAAGCTGTTTTAGGAAAAAAAATTTCTTGTGGAACAATACAATCTGTATTGCTTACATGACAGTTATATGGTGTTATGGAGAATTCTGTTTATGAATAATAATGGGGGTTCTGGAAATGTTGGCAGTAGTACTCAATGGAAAGTCAAACAAAGGGCATTTTGTTTCACGTTCATATCTTTGGTAGTCAGGCATTTTGGAATTCTATAGTGACAATGTTTTCCTTTTCTAGTTTCAATCAGGCCCTTTCAGTCTTGTATACTTGTTTCTCCTAGTTTAAGAAAGATTATCTAACAGAGTTTTGAACTAAATGTCGTTAAAATTATTCATTCAAATGTGATTGATTATGTTAGCAAAACTGGCCTCATCTTTTGGGGGATGGGGTGGGAAAGAGGAAAGGAATGGATACAAAACAAAAAAAGGTGGAGCAGAAAGCTGTCTAGAAGGAAGTTTGTACAGTCGTTTTATCTGAGGTGGAGACAAGGATTACCTCCTAGCTTTACACTGTACTGATGAAGCAGTACAAGCCAAAAATTCAGCAGATTGAAAATAAGGGAATTTCTTTAGGGAAAAAAAAAGGGGGATTTTTTTTGTCAAATCAAATATCTCTTATTCTGGAGAATGACTCCATAATTTTGAAATTGTCCTTGAAATCTTTAAATTCTTGAACAAATTCTTTGTGACATGGAAAAGGTGTCTTTTCTTCTTTAACCCTTTCCTTACCTGTTCTTCCCTGCTTTTCTGTATCCTGGCAGAAGGAAAGGCATGGTGCAAATGTCTGAGTAGCACTGAGGAAGCAGGATTGGAGGAGATGGTGCTCTGAAGAAGGGAGGGATCCACTGCCCAGCCTGCTGATCCCTGGCACAGTGGACAAGAAGCAGAGCTGGGACCTTGACATCACTCAGATGCTCAGTTGGCAATGACCCCTCCCTGGGATCCTGAGAAGAAGAACCACATTGAAAGACAAAATATTATCCTCTCTAGTATAATTTCAGACTATTTCTCATTCTTTTTGGCCCGCTTCCTTATTTTTTCACTTGATGTTTTAAAACCAGATCCTAGAAATAGTCCCAAAATAGCTCCTCTAAGTCACATGTCACATGCAAAAGACTGACTGATGAGAACACCGTCTTCAGAGAGTTACGTGGACTTTGGATTCCTCTGCAGATTTTTCTCTTTTCTTTAGTGAAACAGACAATATGAACTGTGAAAAGTGGAGTACCTTTCCAGTCCAGTCTTCTGTTCATGAATAGAAATCTTTCTTTAAAAATAAATGTCCTGGACCACAAAGAGGATAATTCCGCACACAAATAGCCCACTCTCTGTCTATAGATATTCTAAATTTTCTATTGCTTCTCAGACAGGATAAAGCTTTACTTGCATGCTTAACAGATCTGTTTAACTAATGCTAAACAAAGCAATTAAGTGATTTGTGGGATTTGCTACACTAATTTAAAGTATACCTGGTTTTGGTTTGAGAAGGGCCAGCATTTGACACTTCTCAACAAACAGCAAAAAGAAACCACAAATGAGGAGTAATATACCTCTCAACACTGGATTTCTCCCTAATCTTTAATCAGTAACAATAGACTTACACTTTGAAGCACGTAAATTAGTGTCAGTTTCAGATTCGAAATTGTGACAGCTCAGGAGATATTTACTAACAGTAAGTAAATTCTTATAGCAAATTCTTGCAGAGGACCAGTTGGAGCTATTGAGTTAGGTTTTGGGTATAGTTAGATCTTGTTTAATCTCTAGCCCAGTTTTGCGAAATAGTGATCCTTGAAGATTTTCTTTGGGGGTGGGGAGGGTTAACAGTATATACAGAGAACTTTTTGCTGTTTGTTTGGAAAGCAAATCAACCTAACTTGTACGATTTCTCACTAAAGGTCTATACAGTTTGACCTCTGGTTTGACTCTTACTTCAGGTCTTTTTATTTTCTTGTATGATTTCTCCTTATTACTAATTAACTTGCCAGGTGATCATGCACCAAATCACCTTGGTAATTCCTCCTATTTCCCCATTACTTGGATAGAAACCCTAACAAGTCAGCACCTTGTCCAAAGAAACGTCAAGCTCTCTCTAAATGCACATTCCCAGAGTCCTCAGTCCAGCAGTCTTTGTTAACTAATTTGCAAAAGTTTTCTCTGCTGAAACCACCTTTATAGACCTGCCTTGGTTAATTCTTGTGTTTAACATAAACTAAGTTAATTTCTGGTTAGCTCATGCAAGGTGTAGATCCAGCAGTCTCTATTCTTTCTGGTTCAATGGCCACCTGTTGAAGGAAAACAGGATTACTGTACAGTTCCTATTGAGGGGACCCTGGCTGCCATCCCTGGCCCTGCCCCATTGCAGGTGGTGGGATGGGGTCAGTGAGGCCACTGCCTCAAATAGACTTGTCATTGCACTCAGATATTGTTGCCTGGCTCCTACTCCTGCTCAGCCCTTGCCAGCTCCTGACAACCTGTTCCTGTTTGATTCTTTTCCTATTGTTTTCCCTGGATAATTTGGACCCAACTAGATTACAATTCTGTCACACTTTATCTCGTAATAGTGTGTCATATTATTAACCATTCATCTGCGCTTTAATTAGCGATAACTAGTACATGAAACCAGATTCCTGATACTCAAAACTTTGAGTAATATGAGGGGTATAAGTATTCAGAAAAGTAAGGCTTTTTCTGACAGGTATTTAAAATTTTACATAGGTCAAGAAACTTTTAACTGCTCTGGGTTTTGCTTTTTTTTTTTTTAATCCTTTTGTGAGGTCCATTCTCTGTTGTGTAAAATATCACATGCTCCAAAAGCAGCAAACTATAAGCCAACACATCTATTACCATAGAACTCTCAGAAGCTGTGAGCAAGCCAGTGAAGCACCCTGGGAGCAGAGCAGAGCTGGTGCACAGACCTGCAGCAGCATGCTTATGCTTCATGCAGATGTGCCTCGGGGAGCCTGGAGCCTCATCCCATGGGAGACTGTGACACATGAGATTTCTTAGAATTTCCATCTGTCCTACCTATGCAAAACAGTTGAATCACCAAAGAATCATAAGTGGGATTTGCAGGAATAAATTTTATTCTTTAACATAATGGGGACATCATCAGTGGACCTGTTTCTGTTTTGATCAATACCAGAGCTGTCTACCATTCTACAGATGCTTTTTGAGATATTTCTCTAAGTGTCATCCTATCAGATGACAGGATATACATGACATTTTTAGATTATATACCTAATGCATGTTAGCTAACATATGACAGACAAAACTAAAATGTTACGTACTGTGAAAATTTGGAATAAACTTGAATATGTATGACCAATAGAATGTGAAAATCTGCTCTGTGAGATAATAGAGGCACTTAATTACCTTTTTAAAAGTTATATGAAAATAAATGAAGAATATAGGGAAAGGGACAGAATCACTAGTCTATTGGCCGGAAAGCCATCAAAAGCTTTTGGATTTGTTGGTAGGTAGATTATTCCCACAACCCTGTGTTACTTAGCCACACATTGAACAATCATGTTTCACAGCATTAAACCCTGAGGACCTCTATGGTAACTGCCTCTGAGAAGGAAACAGAAAGGTTAATTCTGGTCTAAAAGGACAGTCTAACAAGGCTGTTGTCCAGGCAAGAGTTCATACCTCTGCATAGCTTGGCTTGGCAAACTCTTTTATTGCGTAGGTTAAAAACAGCCTCATTCTGTTCATTGTACCTCATACTGAACATCTCCTACTGGTATGGATAACCAGGAGTATCTAGAGAATTCAATCTCTTTAATTATTTAGAGCTTTTATAGGACTTTAAATATAACATGTTGTTGCAAACAGTTATTCTTGGCTTGTCAATGGAAACAAATATCTCTGTATGTCCCTCTTGCCTCCTTTCAGCATTCCTCTTCCACAGCGCTGAATGAAAGCATAGTCAGCCATTGCACCAGAGAGCCAAGGCAAACCCAGGTTTTCATACAGAGGACACAGAAGTAACCAACAGTTTGGAAGCAGAACTAGATATTTTAGTCTAGGAGAGAAAGGTACTCTAGACGACAGTGACGTATTGCACAGTTTTCCCATGTATATTCTTGGGAAATCAATCTCATTACTGTGATATGGCCAGCCATATGTTACATAAAGGGATATATGTTATGAATTATAACAGAGGTGGAATCCAGAATTTCTACTGGCAATAGATTATAGCATTACCATACAGAGCTTTATTACAAAAGTAAACTGCATTTTTGATAGTGGATGTATTAACCATATTTATTTCATGGAAGAGATTAATGGAATGTTTAAACAGAGATTTTGCAACCTTCATCCTTGTTGGTAGGTGCTTTTGTCTTTCTGTTTTAGCTTGAAGCATCATGTATCTTTCAATGGAGCTACTTGACAGTTGACATTTTCTGCTTTTACTTCTACTCCAGCTGCTAATTGCATATTTACAATCCTTCAATCAAGAGGAAAAGAGAAACAGATTAGAAAAATTTTCAATCTGTCAGGCAAACCATACATATAATGAAACATCCACTCATTAAACACAGAGAATTTTATAGCTTTAATAATAAGTGTTATAAAGAGCACAAAGGTAATATTAATTCTGAAGGAATGCAGGACTGGAAAAACAATAAGTCATTTTGACAGTTGCTATGAAGACTATTACCAAATGTTATGTTTACTTGACTAGGTTCAATTTATAAAACAAGACCCATAAAAAATCTACAGCATAATCAATTGAGATGCCCTGTTACAAACAACAGCTAATGGAGTGAAGTTCTGATATGCTGATTAATGATTGAATTGTGATCATGGATTTTACAAAATTAAGATAATTAGTAATGTGGGTTGCTTATGTACATTAAATGAAACACTGTGGCAATTAATTAAATTGCTATAATGATTTAACACTGTAAATGTTTTTTTCTTAAGGAAGTGAAATTTTCTGGATGTGTGATTATCTTTCTAAAAGGAATTCACAAAGGTGTGTTTATTATGCAAATATAAAAAGATACAGGAACTTTTGTTCCTGTGCTGTAATCACCGATTAATGCCTCCATATATTTCTCATAAAAATTAAATTTGAGGTACATAAGAAATTCTCCTTTGTTTCTGTGTGTGCTGCTTGCAATCCTAAACATAATCAAGCAAGCTGACAGTATGTATGATTATATATGATACCACTCTGCAGGAGACAGTTCCAATATTGTATCTGCACTCTTCCATTCATTATTGGCAAACATGTGCCTGGAACTCACTGCAATGTTACAACTGGCATTTTAAAATTCTGTGATTTCTTTTTTTTTTTCTATCTAGGACTTGGATTCCCCATAGGATTTATGCACACTGCATTGTATTATTCAGTATACGTTCATGACTTCCACTACTATTAGGAAAATCTATGTGTATACATTCAGAGTAGAATATATCTCATAGTGGATTTCAGAAAATATAACATACAGTTACTTTAAAACACGAGGTTAAAAAATAGGAACTGCAAGACAAGGAAGGGAAAAACAAGCAATTTAAAAACCATTCACCCAGTACATTTGATCCTGTTCCCATTCTTTTCATAGCAAATCATGAGTAACTTTGCAAAAGTCAATGCAGGTCGGCATAAAGCAGGTAGGAAATCAAACCTGAGCCTGTCCTGATTAAAAACCTGAGATATGTTCTTCATTTTTAAGCAGTCATTGCCCTGAAACCTGAAAACTGATGGACACATTTAAACCACTCATTAGGTAACTCTTTATAAGACCATAACTGAGTGTGGCAATAATAGCACCAAGACAGACTGTGACAGAGCTAACCAAGGCTAACTGGTGCTTGGGGCACCATAATGGGGCTCACTAGCTCAGTTTCTAGTTCTGCCAAAACAGTATCGGCAAGGTGCTTTCCCTCTCGGAGGCTCTGTTTCTGTGAACTTAAAATGAGGATACTGACAGCATTAACAGCTTTGAGATCTACTGACAAAGAGCAGAGTTAATTATCTCAATACAGTTTATTAGTTTATTAGTTCTATCAGTTGGACAGGGATGTAAGCAGTGGAAGCAAGACAGCTCCCAGAGAAGACAGTCTTCTAGTAAGACCAAATCTCTCTCTGGATCACAAGGCACTCATAATCACCACATCTGTTGCTTATGTTGGTTCAAAAAAGGTTTTTTTTGCTGTTTAAGAAGTGGAATAAAATCTGATTTACTAGTGGTACCTGTTCCCTCAACCTCATTAAGCAGAGGAGGGGTTAAGAAAGTACATTCACCTGATCCGCTACAGGCAGCTGCAAGCTATCTTTGGCTCTGCATGGAGCAGATGTGACCTGGGTATTTCTAAAGGCCAATCTGAGAAACAAAGATTAGTGCTTCCCTCAACTGGATCAAAGAAACCTTTGTCAGAGGCATTTCAGATCTAGCTAACATCCAGTCAGGGCAGAAGATCATGTGGAGATCCTCAGAGCAGTTAGTGCTGATCTCCTTCAAGACCAGGACATGCCACTACACCCAGCCTATGTTGGCCTGCTCAGAGAAGAAAGCACTGCAGTTGGTTTGGGAGGTCTCTTGAACCAAAACCCAAACCTGGAAATCTTTTGGGCTTCCAAAATCTTCCGGTAGATTGATGAGTAAAGATGATGAGAAACAAAGGAAATAAAAAGGCTACAAAATGAAATCTAAAAGCAGTCTCTAACTTTGTATTCAGTGCCTGTCAGAAAAGGTCGTCTGTTTTACAAGACAGGAAATGCAAAACAAGAGCTTCTGTAACTATTTGTAAATATTGTCAAATTTATGGAACTGGTTTGACATGAGGAAAAAAATATCCCTGGAAAAGAGTTGCAAAACATTCTAAGTAGTTTATTTTGACATTTTAAAAACTTAAAAAAATGTTATTCTGCTTAAAAATTTATCTAAATTTACATTGAGACCTATTTTGCAGGTAAATAAAGGACATCAAAGTGAAATAAAACATTTTGTTTGGGTTCAAACAAAATGTTTATTTGGATCCAAAATATTACCTTCCTTTATTGCCAGAGAACTGAAAAAATATGCAGCTATTTTTAAAGCTTTCACTGTAACATCATTTCTAAATTTTATTTCTGCCCTATTTCTCATATTTTCTATAAAGAGTACTCACATGATTTTTCCTCTAGTGAAATGTAAACATTTGTTTTTGTCAGGGTGCCATCCTCTTATTAAAATGTTGCATTCAGTGATTGGTTGTCATCAGTATTGTTAATATTGCTATTACTTAGGGTCTTTCCAATGTAAAAATCTCATTTGCTCCTTACTATTCTCCTTCATCTTCTATTTTCTAAAACTTGATATTTCTTTAAATCTTTAAATTTACTTCCTCCAATTACATTTTTTATTTTATATTTAAGGTAGAAATGACTGAATGCTAGCAAAAGCAACAAAATTTTTCACTAGCTCAGTTTGGGGGAAAATTTCCAAAATGGTAATTGAAACACTTCAAAATATGGAAAACTATTAAAAACTGTAGGTAACAACTGAAAAGGAAAAGCCTGAAGTTCATAAAAATTTCCCAGATTTTTTTTCCTTATTTTAGCCCTAGTTATCTTTTTCTCCTGCTTCCTTTTTCTAAAACTGTTTTTACTTCCTTCTCTTTCCTTATAGGTCTGAATCAGAAAGGTCTATCTGCAATTTAGATTTATTGGAATAGAGGTAAAAAAGAATAAGAGCAACTTTTCACTGTCAGATTTGCACAAAGTAGTCAGTGCAAGTGAAAGCCAAGTTCTTTACCATTTATCTCTTACTCTCCTTTATCTCTATTCACTTTCTCTATTTCAGTCCTTTCCAACCCTCTTCCTTGCCTTTCCTTATACTTCCCCCCCCCACCCCCTCCTTACTTTTAGGTTTTTTAACCATCCCTCACACATCCCTACTTATTATCCAGGGACCTATTCAGCTACAAAAGACTTGAATGTTAAGTGTGAGAAAGTGAAAGACACTTGCAATGAGGGCGATGATAGATGATTTTCAGTAGGTTTTTTTTACTGAAATGTTCTAATATTTTCAGCCAAAAATGTTCCCATCCTTTCAATAGGTTAAAAAATAACCCCTGAAGTGTTGGTGTTGGTAGTATATATTACTATTGTTAGAGAAGCCAGCCAGAGGGAGGAAATGACCTTTAAAACGGGAAGAAAATTCTCATTCCTTTTTGCCTCTTCCCTGCTTTCTGTTTGCTCTGCATTTTCTCATTTTCTTCTTACTTTTACATTCTTCTCTTCTGCCAGTTCCCTCACACTTTTCATTTTCATTTTTTTTGGTGGTTAATGAATATAAGGCTTATAATTCACTTAAAATCCACTTCATTAACCTAATTTGAATGCAGAGCATAAGGACAAAGGTGAGATAGTCTGTACCTATCTCAACTCCACAAAGACAGGAGAGAAATTAACTCAAAAGACAGAGTGCAGGGAATGTATCTCCACAGTTACCCTCTAGGCTGCAGTTTCACATGTTCTTAAACACAGCCATCACCGCATCCACTCTCAGCATTTCAGGGTGCTGCTGTATGACACCACTTTGTCTTTGGGGTCACACTGAAGGTTTTTCTTGATGTAACTGCTCACATGAAGATGAAGGTGCTGTGGATTATTGCTGCCTTCCAGAAATCCCTTTTTGTCCACTTTGCTGGAGGCAAAACCAGAACCACTGCATGCCTGCTCCTCTAGGACAAAGCTAGTTTGGACATGACTGGAGCAGATACTCTGCTTGGCCCTGTCTGCATATGAGATGGAGAGGAGCATCACCTAAGGGTTCCTGAGAGAGTCTCTCTCTAAGCAGACCAGCATATGGAACCACACCATTTCAACTTTCATGTCAAGTTCATACTTAGGAAAGAACTATATATACATATAAACTCCCTGTGCACTGGAGTACTAATATACCAGCATCTGTGTTGCAAACCAAACCAAGAAGTGCTGAAGCATCTCTTATAAATACACTTCTTCGGGAACAGAATCTGCAGAATGGATTCTTTGAAAAAAGATTCAGACATATGCTTTCTCCTCTGCTAAGTGCCCTGAGAAACAAAGCTTCAGATGTCAGCAGAAAGTTAATATATAGAGTTGGGAAACCTTAAAGGAAGGTTGTAGAACAAATTCCTTGAGGAGTTTGCCTCATATGAGTTTGTATAATGTTGCAGGAGGAAAATGAAAAAAAAAAATCAAGGGAAAGACAGTGAAACAACTAATTTCTGTCCAAAAGGAAAGAGAAAAATCAATATTCTAGATTTACTTAATGGTTTTGTTTGCAATAGGTTTCAAGGAAGGGAGTCTTTGCTTTATCTCAAGATGTCCTCACATGAACACAACAGAAGGAGACTGAGAGAGAATGATTTGCCTTTCTTTTGGATTTTATTTTTGAATGATCCAGTGAAATAGTGGACTGTCTGTCATTCACAGTTTCTGGTCCAAAACTCTTTTAGTGATTGCACAAAGAGAAGTCCTGCATGGCTATCTTGCAGTGACCATGGCCAGAAAACTAAGAACACAACACATACAATTCGAAATATTTATCTTCTGAGCTTTTTTATTAACCTTAAGTGTTGGTACTTCCCTGGTCATAAGGATTTGGTAACTTCACTTTTCATAGTTGTTGCTCAAACTGATCAAATGAATTTACAAGCCTTTCTTCCCAATCTTATTGAGGCCATTCTTCTTGATATAGAAGTCTAGATTCTTGAGATGGGAGTCTTTCTTGGGTCCAGTTTTGCACCTCATGTAGTCTGACACCACACAGACATGGGTTCAGCCCAGATTTAGCCTGAAAGGGCCAGAGAAGTCTGAAGAATATCACCTTCCTTGCAGTTTTATATATAGATACAGATGTTCTATGTATTCTCCGAACCTTTTGCAGTCAGATGAGAGTAAGATTTGGATTCTGTTTGTTTGTTTTCAAAAAATTACCAAGTCAGACTGTTCTTTTCCTAGAAATGTATTTGTCCTGTACATGCAAGAAAGTGGGGAGAGGAGGAGCTGGCTGGCATATTCTTAACTACTATATATTGCAGAACAGGCTTCCAGTTGTCAGCGTCTGCAGCCTGTAGAAGCATGGTTTCAATTTTACTTTTGAAATCTGAGTCGAGCAATGTTGCCAACACATATTTTTCCCTGTCAAAACATTTCACTTATTCCTGAGTCTGTAGACAGCTTTTTAGGTTACATCTTTTCCCCAGTCTTATTGAAACAGGATCTTCATTTCTTTTGAAATCATTTTTCATTAGTGTGGGAGCAAAAAGTAGATACCAGAGCAGATAAGTGGCAGCACCTGGCTTAAAGATGTTCCATCAGCTCTTAGTTTCTGTGTGATCACTTCTGATAATTGGAGGATGAAAACCAAAGCAGCAGTCATGCTCAAAACATGATAGGTGAAGACATTATCTTCCTTCCCTCTATATGCCCTTAGTGCTGCCTGTGCTCTCTCTTGTTCTACTGAGCTGATAGAACATGCAAAACACAGACTTAAGGTTTCACATGTTGCCTCAGCAAACTATTTTTTTACTAATTTGGTCATGATGAGGACTGGTTCACTGATTATTTGGACTTAAATTAGCTTTAAAAGCATATAGTTTCTGTGTTTGTGAACTACAGGCTCTCCAGGGAAGTGGTCACAGCACCAAGCCTGACAGAGTTCAAGAAGCATTTGGATGATACTCTCAGGCACATGGTGTGACTCTTGGGGATGGTCCTGTGCAGGGCCAGGAGTTGGACTCTGCAATCCTTGTGTGTCCCTTCCAATTTGTCATATGCTCTGATTCTGTGATTCTGTGATTTATTCCCATGTTTATAGTTGCCTTAGTTATTTTCAAACATATGCACACACTTTAGTCTAGAGGATTCATGCAAACGATTGCCTCAGCTGTTTGCTGTTCACTAGCTATTGTTCATGGCATGTGGCAAAGTCATATGAACTACGTCGTATGATTCCTGTTTCCTAACTGGATGTCTAGCAAGACAATGAATAATAATTGAACACTAACAGACAAAGCAATTTCACCCTCCCCAAAAACCCCAATTCAGATTATAAATGCTTTGTAGTCAAACTAGTATATACTCTGGGAACAACATGTCTGAGAATTTTTAACCTTTAGCAGCAAATAACAATTCCCTTAATAACTGTGAAAAGGAATTCCTTAGATTAAAGCAGAAAGATATTCAGAATCATTCTTTGTATTGTTTACCAGCTGTATTTATTTTTTCATTCATGTTTCTGGATAAAAACCATCCGTAGTTCAAATACCAAACTCCCCAACAATCTGATTTTAACAATTTGCCTAAGATCAGACTGTAAAGAAGCAGATCTGAGCAATATAGAGGAAAGATGACACACTCTTCAAATCTTCAGCTTTTATTTCTATTTCAGTTCCCTAACAAGATGAGGCTCAACAGCTGTACTGTTTGCAAGTCTGTGCATCAGCAACAGATTAACAAGCCAATAGAAAATGTGGGTGGCAAGAGAGTCCCAGAGCTCACGTAGACAATTCTTTTTTTCCAAGACAAGATCAGCTCTTGAACAATTCCCATCCACCTGAGCCTAGCTCTGTCTGAAAGACTTTCTCTGAAGGCAATTTTTCCATCCAGTCTATTGCAGTGCTTTATTTTTGTAGTATTAAAAATATTTCATACTACCTTTTCTGTTCCTTCCGTGATGCAATTTCAGCCTATTGTTTTCTGTCCTACCCAACTAAAATCTGACATAAAAAAATTTTTCTGCTCCTCTTTTCTATTTACCCTTTTGACATCAGACATCATATCCACCCTCAGGGCCTCCTTTATTCAGATATCATCGCCTGCTGAGCCTTTCCTTGGAGTTTGTGTTGTAAAGACTGATCCTTTGTTTTCCTCCTTGCATTTTCTTCAAACATTCCATAATCATCTTCAGGTGGAGAAAGTATTTCAGACTGTCTTACAGGAAGTATTCCTATTTATTCAATCTAATGTGTTGTTTGGTTTTCTTAATAACAAAGCACTATTTATAAATGTGACCAATTATAATCTATAGATCTTCTTTTGCTACCTAGCTAGCCTTTCTTCTACTTGCCTTTGGACAGCTGATTATTCTTCACTAAATGTAGCATTTTGCACCTGTCCCTGATGAATTTTCAGTGAGCTCACCATACTAACTTCTGAACCTGTTGGTCAGTCTCAGCTGACCAGGCTTCTGTTGGCAGAGCTCAGCTGACACTCAGTAATTTCTGACTCATTTTGTGAAAACAGTCAGCTGGAGGAGGGAGGACGTCCCATGGAGAGGAAGGTTATGATGTGAACTTGATGCTTCTTAGATGCTAGCAACCCGGCACAGCATGACTCCAAAGGAAATGCAGCTTCATAGAAATATTTGTTTTAAAATTGAAAAGCTGTAAGGTTACTCCCGTACTTATAGTCTTATGTCAAGTAACTACTTTGGGGTGTTTTTTCTGTCGTACATCTGTCAGCTGCTAGAGAACTTACCACAGGGCTTCATGATCCTGGGGTTGACTGTAGTGCTGGGTCTTTCCTTGGGTGATACAGACTCCGGAATTAAATTGAGAGGTCTCACATTCAGCAATTGCTGTTACTGATTCAGTCAGAGGCTTTGGGCTGCAAAATAATGGCCAGTAAAGGAGACACCTGGTTAAACAAAATTGTTTTCTAAAATAGATGATATCTTTAAAGAGTGATTGTGAGTACATGCTGTTACAGGCTACATCTTTATCAACGGTAGCAAAGAGTTAAATACTCAATTGCATCCATTTCGTGAACAAACTTTTCGTGATGTTGTGGCATAATGAAAGCTCATTAATTACTGAACTTCTGAATTAATACAATACAGAATATCACTGTGCTGCAACCACAACAGAAAAGAATTTTTAATCCACAGTATTCTGGTCTATGGGACAAAAATCAGTACCTACAGCTAAGAGAAAAGAAATAGGCAATTTTTTAAAGTATAAACATTCCTATTTGACAAAATGAAGTTGCACATATTAAAAGCATAGTAAAGACAGGAAGAGGATCAGAAGAAATATAAAGTGAATTGGAAAAATAAAGATCTCTTTGTACATGACCACTATTCCCATCAGTTATTAAACCACAGCAGAGCTACACACAAAAACAAAGACAGTAATTCAAAAGCTATAGTCAAATACTATGATGTTCTATGGTGACAGTTGTTTGAAGAATATGTAATCAATAAAACTGTCTTTTCATCATTTCTATTGAGTTTAAGAAAAAGTTATATAAAAGATTACTGTGAGAAAGAATATTAAAATATTTTCCCCCTGTTGAAAAGATATTGTATTTTATTTTGGGGGAAGTTTGGGCTTTTTATTGAAAAAATAAACACTGAAAACAGAAGGTATCATATTGAGGGGTTGTTTTTTGGGAGATCCTGTAGTGCTGATAAAAACAGAGATCTCTGTGATTAATTACAGATCATTCAAAATTATTTTGTCCTGGAATAAAGATTGATGATGAATTTCTAACTATTTCTTAGTCTTGAATGCCTAAGTAGAAACATACAAGCTGACTGCAGAGAAAGAAAACTGAAGGAAAAATTGACTGACATATGATAGGAAGTTGAAATGCATGATTTGGGGATTTTAGATCTCTTTCTTCTATTTGAAATAAGAAGCTTAATCCCATGAGAATATATAGGAAACAGAAGTGAGCTGGCTGAGAATTTTCTACTCCACATTTCTTTGACAGAAAGATGCATTTTTGATTAAACAGAATTTTTTCTTGGAAAGTGTCTGCCTTAATTTAAAATGTAGCTTCCTTTTGTCTGAAAAGAGAAATTCATAACTTTTATAGCATAAAAAGGAAGTAAAGACTCTAATTTTGTTTTGTTTTGTTTGATGAAGAGTCCAAACACTAAGCCAAGCTTCTTCAGTTACCATCCTAGTTTTATCTGTGGTTGTCATTTGAGGTAAGTAGTCTTACACTGTTAACCCATAACAACATATCCTATGTGATTTTTTTAATAATACGAACAAATGGCACAATAAGACATAATAGTACAAACAAGAAAACAAAAGAAAGAAAAAAAACAGGAAAAGATTGTTATTTATAATAAAATTTTAAAAAATAACAAGTAAAGCTAAAAAAAATTAACTTACAGTCTTAAGTGATGGAAATAGAACAATGTCAGCAATACCATGGCTAAATACAAATCACAAAACATTACCTCATTGGTTTGTTCTAGCTGTGTCAAAATTCACTTTTTGCATTCACTTCTCTACTCTCTTCAGTTTCCATAACAAGTGTCCTCATAAGAATCCAGCTGCTGACTTAATTTTACATTTGGCCAGCTGAATATCATGCATGCATCCCAAATTTAGGACTCAGGAGTTAGTCTTTTACCTTTAAATCTAAATATGCTCACCCAACCATTGATAGGTTTCTTTATATCTTATGTCTTTATTTTCCTATTAGCCTGCATTTTTTAATTCTGTGAATGTCAGAAGAATGAATGGACAAGAGAGCTGTGAATAATAGGAGGTAACATGAAGTTTATAGAGGTACTGATTGCACAGCATGGTTGGGAAGGTTCATATGTTTGCCTAAGGCAGTGCCTCTCTCTCTGCTACCTTTTGCTTGCAAAAAGGGCCCTGTACTGGGCATGCCAGAAGGAATATATGCCCAGCATTTACTAGAGAGAGTTGGTGCCATATATAAAAAGTACTGCCTTGGCTGCTGCCTCTTCTCATAACTGTGTTTCTTGGTCATGTGCTCATCATAACTACACCTTTCTTCATTTTTTTTTAATGGAAATATTTTAGATGTAATGAGGAATGGTCACCTCTGAAACTGAGAGCATTCCTGGGGTTTCTGTGTCCATCTCTCATCTAATTTTAGGAGAAGTAAATACATCACCAAGTGAGTGGTTTTTCTGTTTGAGATGGTATTTGTGCACATGTAAAATGTGTTTTCAAGCATTATCTCTTTTCACCTGACACATCATAAACATGTAAGTGTGCAGTAATATGATCTGTTTCTATAGAGACCAAGCATAGTACTTTAAGAATACACACAAGAATTTGTAAGGAATGTTTATGATATTTCTGCTTCTCTGAAATTTCTGTCCATTGCAAGGGTACTTGGTAAACGACAGTTTTCTAACTAGGTCTTGAGGCAACATCCAAAGGATAATCCCTTTGCCATCTATGACCAAAGAGAAGTTGAGATAATATCCACTCTGTCCTTCTCTTCTTAACAGCATCAACTCTATGTGATTCTTTTATCTTTGTCCTAAAAAGCTTCCCATGATGAATGCTCACTAATTTCAATTAATTCCAACGCATCATTGTCTTTGGCAATGCCTAATTCGAATACTTTTTGATGTAATACTCTTTTCAGCATGGTCTTGTGGTTTAACCACAGCTAGAAAAGCATATTCTTTCTTTCCATGAGTAGATTTTTTTTGTCTTGGCTCCTCTTTTTCTTCTCTTTCCTTCTCTCTTTTTTTTTTTTTTTTTTTTTTTTGGTATGTGTTTTGTATTGTTTTGTTTTGGTTTCAGATCTTCATCACCTGAAGATCCTGCTGTGACTAACCTTGACTCTACCATGTGTGTATGTAGCTCATTGGTCTGCTGTAGATTTAAGACAAAGAAGAAGAGCTGAACAAATCCCTACTTAGTCAGAACACTTTCTCTTGCCCTTGGGCTGGAGATAGGCCAGGACAATGCCTTTTATTGAAGAACAGAAATATAAAATGTATCATGTCTCTTGAACTGACTGATATGTAGAATTTACCAAAATGGAAACCACATGTTTCTAAGAATTTAAAACACAGAGGTGGCTGCACTAGCATTATACTCACATCTGGAAGCAACCATCTCTCACAGAGGCAGCTTTGTAAATCTTTTCTGGGGGCACCATCCTAAAATTCATTTTGCCTGAGATAAAATACAATAAGATACGCTGAAAAACTTATAGCTAATGTAGGAACATCATATGGCTTCATACAGACATTGACAAAACAAAAGGACAGACAGACATCAAACAGGAAGGGAAAGTAAGTTGTGACACTTCAGAAAAAAACATGAGTGTACGTTTTGTTTTTCCTTCTGCTCACGAACTCATTTGGTAGAACAGTATGATTGTTATCTAGACTGTCTTTGTTCAGCTTGCAAGTGTATGCTAAGAGTGACCAAATTAAATTATATCTTCTTACTCAAAAGAGCGGTTTCCTGTGTTTACTCAAAACCACAGCTTCTTATATTGACTGGAATAAGTTTTTACTACTTTTTGCTACTTGACAGCCCTTTAGAGCCAAAAGAGCTGTGGGACAGTGAGGGGGACTCTGCCTTGTGCATCATTTGCAGAGTTAGTAACTACACCCAAACTTCAGCCGCTTTACTGCTGGTGGCACAGGAGACAGAAGCACTGTGGCTTGGCATTTATACTCCAAGTGGATCTGTATAAGTTTAGAGAGAAGTACTGCTAATAGACATCTAGTGTGGAAGACTGATTAATTTCTGTGACTACCAGAATAGGAAATTCTTCAGCTTCCAGGTTGAACTGTAGGTAGGATTTCCTGATCTTCACCAGAGTTTTCTCTGGGCCTCTGATTTAGAGAACAGGGCTTAGGTATACGAGCATAAGGAGCAAAGAACATATTATGTATTTCTCTTTGAGTCTTGGTTGCTTTGCTGAAGGGATTCCTGGTGTGGAAGTATCAGCAGGAGGCAAATGCCATATGGGTTTGAGCTCTGTAAAAGAGAAATGGGTATATCAAATTTTGCAACATGGAATAGAACGATATTTTTATAAGGAGTGTTGACAACATTGAAAAGCTAAGCAGCAGGCCAGAAAAAGATTACCCATGCCCTTGACTGTCCCTCAGAAACATGTCCCTAGCATTAAACAATTGGGAAGCTCCACTACTGTGTAAATTTCGGACTTAGCACGAGAATTCAAGGGAAGCAAGTTCCAGTAGTGTCACATGACTCTTCACAGAGTTGAAGGTAGGTAGACCTTCTAAGTAGCAAAAGGGCTTTAGCTTTTCTGCCTTCTCAGCTGTTGGAGACAGATTCCTGCCAAAAGAGCCAGCAGTTGGGAAATGGCAAAAGAAAAAAATAGTTATGTCCTTTCAAACAGGTGCACTATGCCTGCAGCAAAGAGAAAGACACATGAGAACATGCATTTGCACAAGGAGACATTAGAATAAAAAGGCTTGAGCTGCAGAGACTGAAATATCTTTACAAGATGGCAGGCAGCCAGAAAGTTGGAGGGTGGGGGAACGACTGCTTTTTCTTATTTTTCACATTTTTGATTGAAGGCATTTGATTCTGATTTCAGCTATGTGGTTACATATTGATGCTTAAAATGTGAAATCAGCTGTTATTCAGAAGATGATTTAATAAGCTAGGCAGGAATATCTGCCAGCGTAGCTAAGTTCAGAAATCAGGCACAGGTTTTCTGCCAAAAGAATTGGGAACTAAGAAACCATAACAAAACACAACCACATCAGCCAGTATATATTGCTGCAGATCAGACCCATATTAAAAATATTTTCTCAATATAACAGGAGCATTTAGGTGTCTTTGAAAAGATTTTATTGAGTTTAAGATAACACATTTTGCATTTTACTGTGCAAAATGCTGCAATGCCTTTCAATGGATGCCTCTATTTTTGTCCTTATGTGCAATTGAGTTCTTTATGCCTGCAGAATTTTAAAGTAACATAAAGATAGCTGTATATGTACAGAATATCTGTCAAAGGATTTGGCCTTTGTTATAACAGCCATGAGTTTGCAGGATGTACATGAAACCATCTGTACCTTTCCTTTAAGTGCTTATCTGTGTGATCCTTCAAAAAATTAAGCCTATTCTTAGAGTTACACAGATACATATTTTTCACTCATATGTAATTGGTGTTTAGAAAATAAAAGCTGTTATTCTCAGTTCCCATCTCTCAAACAATTTAACATTTTCAAAGAAAATATATACTTTCTAAGTGAATCCAAGATCGCTCTAACTAAATATGTTCCATTTTCCTCACATCTTGAGAATTTTATTCTGCTTCTTCATTGACAAGTATAATGAAAAAAGTGGCATAGCAAGAGCTCTGCTTATTATTTGCTTTGATAGACATAGCTGGAAGGAAATGTTCTAAGATCCAAGTATCTCAGGTAGCCATTTTAAAAGGCAATATTTACAGAGTGCCTCTCTGAGCTAGAGAAAAGACTTAAAATTCAAAACTCCTATCTGATAACATCCTGTCCACTTATTCCAGTTTATTTTGCTAAGACTTTATATGATGATACAAAACAAATATTACACAGTTGCAATTTTTGGGTTAGAAATTTTGTGTTGATTCTCATTGCCTGTAGTTTCAAATTCGTCACATTTTATGACAATGCATATGAAGGTTTCTAGCACAAAATCAAATCTTTTTATCATAATCTCATTGCCATAATATCATCACCTTTGGCAATCATGTCTGACAGTTCACGAAAATGCAGATTGCCATCAAACCTACAAGGAAGGAGCCCTCAGATGCCAATGCATCCTTAGGGCAAGGAGTCAAACTACCAAGTTTATTGCTTTTCAAGTGGTCATATCCCTTTGGCATTTTTCCCAGTCTTTCTCCTCCCTGAACAGTAGCACATAGCAAAGAAAATAAAGATGTCATACAGCAAAATTAACATTAGTATGTAGATTTTTTTTTTTTAGAAACCTAGATTCTGGATTTAGATGTGCTCTAGATGGATGACAAATTATACTATTAATTTCCATACCTTTTCTTTCAAATTACATATTTTCTTGAGGCTGAAACTGTATTTGTATTTTTTTTTGTATCCTGACTCTATTTTTTGAAGAATTCAAAATTACCAATTGTTAAATAAGTTAAAATGAAACATTTTATTTGAATAGATGGTGGAGGAAGAAAACACAAATAAAGCAAAACTAAAGTAGGCAGTGTCAGGAGTTGAAAAAAAAGGAAAATTTAAATTCAGTGGCAGGATATAAGAATCATCTGTGCACATTACACAATTGTTAGGTGCTGTTAAAGAACAGAATGATCCATAGTGCCTATCTAAACACTAAGAAAAATAGTTGTCTGACAAGGTCTACCCTGTCCAGACATGAATGATGCCAAAGAAGATAAGAATATGAAATCTATAATATATACAGGAACTTCAACATCTCAACCCACATGAATTTCCCCAAAGCTCTTTGTCTGAGGATGAAATAAATCAGCCAGAATAAAGAAAGATCCACTTCCTTTAGTATTTTTCCACTTCCACAAGAGAAATACCCTCTATTCCCCCCAAAAGTCAGTCTTAAAAGAGGAACAACAGTTGATTTTTGTATCTTGAAGGCAAAAAATTGCTAGTGACCAATAATTGCATGCCCAGTCAATCATCAGCAATGTGTAAACACCAAAAGCATAAGATTCATTAGGATATCAGGATAAGAAACATTTCTGAGACAGAACATGAAAAACAGAAATTCACTGAGGATCAGGGGTAGAAGTTACAGACAGGTATCTATTAAAAAAACAGATAATCTTCTCCTCTGTCTTTCAACTGAACATATTCTGGTGTATTAATTAAATCTTCATTGATGAGGGTTCGTTTTTTAGGGTATTTTGTGTTTAGAGCAGCTGTTTAATCTTTGACAAATGCATTACTGACTCTATGACAGATTCAAGTCTGTTGTTCACTGGCAACTTTGAGTTTCCTAGGAGTGAAATTAAATAAGGATAAACTAAGAACAGCATGGGATAAGAAAAGGAGATGAGAAGAAAGATGAAGATACCAGAGAGAGGTGAAAATCTACAATAACTTTAGCAATTAATTCATTATTAAGAGCAGGTTTCCTTTTCTGATGTCACAGTTTTGCATTGTAAGGTAATGAGAGGGTTTCAGAAGAAAAACAGATAAGCAAATACTACAAAGTTGAAGTGATGAGATAAAAAAAATTCAATTATTAACCATTATACCATCATGTATAATCACGTTATTTATACGTGACTAGAGGACAACATGGTCTCCAGGGTCATTAGCAAATCGTAGTAATGGGCTAAATTCTGAGTTACAGAGATTATGCCTCAAAACCAAGCTTAAACTTGTAAAATGTACTACTGTATCATAAGATGGTACATTGAAGACTGTGTACACACCCTCCTACAATCAGAACCCAGATCACACAGCCACCCCTCAGGAAGATCAGAGCTGATCCTATCTATTTCATCATTCCTTAAATTGTTTAGGTCCCATCCTAATACAAGCAGTAAGCTTTTTCATTCCTCTAAATTCTTTATTCTTATGAAGTTCATTCCAATAGTGAATATTTGTTTTTGCAACCATAGTGATAACAGATAGTTACTGGACACAGTACACTCAAAGTATTTTCAACTACTCTTTTTGAAATTTGACTATATTAGGGTCTGTCTGTGGTAATGGTGCAATAAAGATACAGCACTGATATAATTCTTACATCAGTTTTCAGTTATGACATTAACAACTGTTCTGTGTAAGACTTTTCAGAAGTTATGAAGACAGATCATTCTTTCATCTCAGCATTTCCCTGAGAAAATAGTTTCCCAGTATTGTCTTCAGAACTTCACTTGTGCTTAAACTCTTCTGGGAAGAGATCTATAGTACCTAACACACTCTGTGTGTAGGATTAATTACCAATATTTTGTTTTACATGACTGAAATAAGTAAGGAACTTTTCTTGAGGGCACATTGATATAGGCATGAAGGAGAATTTGTACTACTTTCACAGAAAATCCATTTCTTTCACATGACATGAAAGGCAGGAAAAGTAGAGAAGAGAATAAAATATGAGGAAGGAAACAATTGTTTCTATTTTGGAAATAAAGTTGAGTAGAATAGATTTTTACGGACCCGATGAGATTTTGGGGAAAGATACAGAATCTAGAAATATTAAATTATTCTTACATGTTTCTATTTTTTTATGTTAGACTGTCTTACACATTCTGTTTCTTGAGTGTGTGTGTATATGTATATGTACATGAACATAGATTTGTACACGTGATCTGTACATATGATAGACATATGATATCATATTTGTACATATGATAGACACTTCTCACAAGCTGATGAAAGCTGAACCTATTTAGCAGGAAGTGTACCTGATCCAGCAAGTAGCTTTTCTAGCTTTGTAGTGTGCCACTTGTGTATGGCAAAGAATAAAGCAGAATTGCAATTAGATCTGTGTAAGTAACGGATAATAGATCTCAAAACTAGTAATCAAATTGATCAGGTAAATTCTCCAAGGAATCACTTCAGCAAAGCAGGTGTATAGCATGAAAAGGTGAGAAATAGAAATAGCAAAGAGGGATCGAGAGCTTTAATGAAAGGCATAGCAGAGTTAGTAATCCCTTAATTGGGCCCATGGTAGGAAAGCAGAGCAGAGAGGTTGTTTTGTTTGGATGAGTGAGAAATTCTGGAGATGTAAGATCAATGGAGTGTTAAAAATTTGAATTTTGGTAAGTATAGTAAGGCTGTGAGCTGGCTAAAGAAAAATAGAGTAGGAAATGTCCAACTAGAAGTTTTAGCACAAAAGGATTAAGATTGAACTTGATCTTTCTCTTTTCACTCCTCAGTACTTATTGCACTAGAGTTTCTTTGCAACTCACTTTACCAAGTGAGTTTCTGTTTTCCTCCTAATATATACAATTGGCTGCTTTAATTTCTTTTGTGAACAGACCAAGTGAAAAGCATCATATTAGAAGA